ATTTATTATGCTGGCGACCACAGAGGACTCACATCTCTCCAACCTGTGGCATCAAAAGGAGGGTGCCAAGACTTTTTATACCCGAAAAACCACCTTGGGAGTAGGGGTGAGGAGTGGGGATGGGGATGAAAAGGTTTTGGACATTCCAAGGGCTAGGGGATTCTGTGATTCACCTCCTGGGCAGAGACGAGGGTGGGGGTCTCCGGACATTCCAAGGGCCAGGGGACTTTTGTCATTCTGTTTGTTACTTCAGTGGTTTACAGAAGTCAAGATAAGCATTTGTTTACACACAGATCTTAGTTATCCTGGGCTGCTTATTTTAGTTATTACTAAATAACTAAAGCAAAGGCTAGCAATTCTGGCACAATATCACACATTAGACAGATCACTTAGATAAAAAGCTAACAGAAAAATATTGAATTTAAACTGCACTTTAGACCAAATGGACCTAACAAAAGTTTGTGGGAACATTTTCTCCAGTAGCCACGGAGTTAATTTTCTTTTCATCAGCACACAGGACATTCTCCAGAATAAACTATATATTAGGACACAAAACTAGTCTCAACAAATGTTTAAAAATTGAAATCATATCAAGTATCTTCTCAGACCCAAGTGGAATAAATCTAAAAACCAATAACCAAAACTTGGAAACTGTACAAATATAAAAAAATTAAACAACATGTCCTTGAATGACCATTCGTGTAATGTAGAAATTAAGAAGGAAATAATAAAATGTTTTTAGAAATAAATGAAAATTGAAACACAACACATTAAAACCCATGGGAAAGAGCAAAAGCAGTGTGAAGAGGGAAGGTTAAAGCAAAGAAAAACTACATTAAAAAATGGAAATATTTCAAATAAATAATCTAATGATGCTCCTCAAGGAACTAGCAAAGAAGGAACTAATAAAGCTCAAAGTCAGAAACAAAGAAATAATAAAGATTAAAGAAGAACTAAATGAAATAGACAAAAAGTTACAAAAGATTAGTTAAGCAAAAAGTTAGTTTCTTGGTAAGATCAAATTTGATCAACTGCTAGCTAGACTAACCAAGAAAAAAAAGACCCAAATAAAAAAAATTAGAAATGAAAAAAAAAAGTTACAACTGATGTTACACAAATAGAAGAGATTATCAAGAACTATCATGAACAACTATACACTAACAAACTGGAAAACCTAGTAGAAATGGATAATTTCCTGGACAAATACAACCTACCAAGGTTGAATCAGGAAGAAACAGAAAACCTGAGCAGACCAATAATGAGTAATACATTTGAATAAATAATAAAAAGTCTGCCAACTAAAAACAGACTAGGACCAGAAGGCTTCTCTGCAAATTCTACCATACCAAACTTACAAAGAATATTTTCCTTAAGCTATTCAAAAAAAAAGGAATAGCAGGGAATTCTCCCTAATTTATTTTATGAGGCAAGCATTACTCTGATACTAAATCCAGACCTCCTCCCGAAAAAAGAAAACTTTATGTCAATGTATTCTAATGGACATAGACGCAAAAATCCTCAACAAAATACTAGCAAAACAAATTCAACAATACATCAAAAAGATAATACACTATGATCAAGTTTTTGTATCCCAGAGTTGCAAGGATGATTTAACGTATGCAAATCCATAAACATGATATATCACACCAACAGAATGAAGGAAAAAAACCGTATAACCATTTTAATAGATGCAGAAAAAGCATTTGATAACATTTAACATCCCTTCATGATAAAAACCCTCAACAAGTTAGGCATAGAAGGAGTATATCTCAACATACTAAAGCCTATATATGACATCATATAGCTGACATCATACTGAATGCAGAAGAGCTGAAAGCCTTTCCTATAGGAACCAAAATAAGACAAGGATGCCCACTTTCACCTCTCCTATTGAACATATTGCTGGAAGTCCCAGACAGAGCAATCAGGCAAAATAAATAAATAAATAAAAGGTATCCAAATTGGAAAAGACAAAATCAAATTGTCCCTCTCAGCCAATGACATGATCTTATATTTAGAAAAAGATAAATACCCTACCAAAAACCTTTTAGATTTTGTGAATTTAATAAAGTTGAAGGGCATAAAATCAACCTGCAAAATCAGTAGTGTTTCTATATACCAATAATTAATTAGCTGAGAAAGAAATCAGGGAAGCAATTCCATTACAATAGATAAAAATAAAATACTTAAGAATAAATTCAACCAAAAAGATCGAAGACCTCTACAAGGAAAACTACAAAACACTGATTATAAAATTGAAAAGGACACAAATTTTAAGAAAAATTCGCCAGGCGCGGTGGCTCAAGCCTGTAATCCCAGCAGTTTGGGAGGCCGAGGCGGGTGGATCACGAGGTTAAGAGATCAATACCATCCTGGTCAACATGGTGAAACCCCGTCTCTACTAAAAATACAAAACATTAGCTGGGCATGGTGACGCGTGCCTGTAGTCCCAGCTACTCAGGAGGTTGAGGCAGGAGAATAGCCTGAACCCAAGAGGCAGAGGTTGCGGTGAGCCGAGACCGCGCCATTGCACTCCAGCCTGGGTAACAAGAGCGAAACTCCTTCTCAAAAAAAAAATATAAGAAAAAGAAAAATTCATGCTCATGGATTGAAAGAATGAATATACTTAAAATGATCATATTTCTGAAAGCAATGTACAGATTCAATGCAATCCCTATCAAAATACCCATGTCATTTTTCACTGAAATCTTTTAAAAATTCTAAAATTTGCAGGGAACCACAAAAGACCCCAAATAGCCAAAGCAAACCAAAACAAAAAGGACAAAGCTGCAGTCATCATGCTATCTTATTTCAAAATATATTACAAGGCTATTGTAACCAAAACAGCATGTTATTGATATAAAAATAGACACATAGATAAATGGAACAGAATAGAGAATCCAGATATAAATCCATATATTTATAGCCAACTGATTTTTGACAAAGATACCAAGAACATATATTAGGGAAAGGATAACCTCTTCAATAAATGATACTAGGAAAACTAGATATTTATATATAGAAAAATTAAAGTGGACACCTATCTCTCACCATATACAAAAAGCAACTCTAGATGGATTAAAGACAAACATAAGCTCTGAAACTAAAATGACAGAAGAAAACAAAGGGAAAGCATTTTGGGATATTGGTCTATGCAAATATTTTTTGGCTAAGACAGCAAAAAAAAAAACAGATAACAAAACCAAAAATAGACAAATTGGACTATATTAAAATTTTAAAAAATTCTGCACAACCAAGGACAACAGTGAAGAGACAACTTGTTGAATGAAAGACAAGATTTGCAAACTATTCCTCTGACAAAGGAATAATATCCAGAATATATAAGGGAACTCAAACAACTCAAGATTAAGAAAGCAAATAACCTCATTAAAAAGCAAGCAAAGAATATGAATAGACATTTTTCAAAAGAAGACATACAGAAGGCCAACAAATATGTAAAAAATAATCAACATCACGAATCATCAGAGAAATGCAAATGAGCTATTATCTTACCCTAGTTGGAATGGCTATTATTAAAAAGACAAAAATAACAGATGCTAATGAGGATGTAGAGAAAAAGGAATTTTTTTTCTTTTTGAACACTGTTGGTGGGAATATAATTTAGTACAGCCACTGTGAAGGACAGTAAGCAGATTCCTCAGAAAACTAAAAACAAAACTACCACTTGATCTAGCAATCCCACTACTGAGTACTTATTCAAAGGAAAGGAAATCATTCTATCAAAGAGATACTCCCATATTTACTGCAGCACTTCTCACAATAGACAAGATGTGGAATCAACCTAAGTGTCCATTAGTGGATGAATGGATAAAGTAAATGCGGTATGTATATACAATGGAATATTTCTTGGCCATAAAAGAGAATGAAATCACGTTATTTGCAGCAACATGTATAAAACCAGAAGTAATTATGTTAAGTGAAATAAGGCAAGCACAGAAAGACAAATGTCACTCTCACTAATATATGGGAGCTAAAAAAGTTGATCTCATGAAGGTATAAAGTAAAATCTATATCAGAAGATGGTGAGGGTGTGTGGGTTGGTGTGGAGGAGTGGGAATGAAGAGAGGTTGGTTAATAGGTACAAACATACAGTTAGATAGAAGGAGTAAGTTCTAATGTTTGCTAGGCAGAGTAGAATAACTACACTTTACACATTGTATTTCATATTTCAAAACAGGAAGAAAGAACTTCAAATTTTCCAAACACATAGAAATGATAAATTCTCGAGGTAATGGATTCCCTAAATACCTTGACTTGATCATTATACATTCTATGCATGTAACAAAATATCTCATGTACCTCATAAATAGGTATAAATATTTTATCTGAATAAAAAGTTATCCTGAATACCTTTAGCTCCCACTTATAAGTGAGAACATGTGGTATTTGGTTTTCTGTTTCTGTATTAGTTCACTTAGGAAAATGGCCTTTAGCTGCATCCATGTTGCTGCAAAGGATATGATTTCATTTCTTCATGGCTGCATAGTATTCTTATTCTATGATCCGTCTCTTTTTTTATGTTCTGTTGCAGGTAAACTCTTGGTTGCAAGATGTTTTATTTCCAGGACTTGAAGAAGGAATTCGTGTGAAGTCAAATGTCTCATATCTATAGACGTTCAGTAAATCACCCTGTTTTCAGCCCCACATCTCACTTTTATCCTCCATTGTACCTGATTTTTTAAAGGTTCTGTGTAACAGATTGTGTTATCTTTCTAGATGTATTGACACTATTTATGCATATTTTGGCTGCTTCAACACTGGTTTATTATTGTTATAAAATTTGTTGGCTTGTTTACTGTCTTCTAGAAATTCGTTAAAAGCTCTCAGGTGTCTTGCTCTAGAAGAGTATATCAGGAAGTTTCTACATAACTAGAGGGTTAGAACTGACTCTTAAGCGGTCTGAATGCTGATTCAATTCACCTTTCATCAATCCTTATCTCTACTTTATTTTATTGCTCCTTCTTTCTTTCTTTTTTGAGGTTTTGCTGAAGATATTAATCTTCATCATCCCAGGTGCCACACTACAAGAATGATTCAGTTGACAGCTACCCCTGTGAGTGCACTTGTTGATGAGCCAGTGCGTATCCGAGCTACAGGCCTGACTCCCTTTCAGGTGGTGAGTTTTAAGGCATCACTGGAAGATGAAAAGAGAAACATGTTTTATTCTCAAGCCCACTATAGGGCCAATGAATTTGGTGAGGTGGACCTGGAGCATGCTTCTTCACTTGGAGGGGATTATGTGGGAGTCCACCCCATGGGTCTCTTCTGGTCCCTAAAACCCGAAAAGCCATTAAAAAGACTGTTGAAAAGAGATGTGATGAATAGCCCCTTTCAGGTCCAATTAAAACTTTATGACTTAGAGGCACTACCGTACAGTAAAGCTACCAGTGCTCCAAAGGCCAGCCTGACTCTGAAGAGGTGGTATGTGGCACCTGGTGTCACACGAATTCAGGTTCGAGAAGGCCGCCTTCGAGGAACTCTCTTTCTCCCTTCAGGTGAGTAGAATTTCTCTGTTTATTGTTATTCTTGTTTTTCCATTTTAAATACATTATCCCTCTAGATATTTAGCTTGAATATGAATAATACACTTGCTTCCTGCCTTACAATCAATGTTAATCTTGGGTCAGAACAAGAATGTGGTAATATTCCACTCCAACTCAAGTTTCATCTCAGCAATTCTGAACCTTGTCTAAGAATGTGACTACATATAGTTTACAGAGTTCCTACATTATGGGATTTACATAGCTTTGGATTTATGCTAAATTTTTCTGCATTGAAGTCTGGCTATATGAAGACCCCTCATCCCGATGCGATGGAAACCATATCCCAGATCCTTGTGCAGGCTCTGTCAGGCTGAGTTTCAGTTTAGGCACGGGGCTATTACCTTGTTTCCACAACAAGCTTGAGATTAGATGGACTGAAAGACTGCAGCAAATATAGAGAATGCAAAGAAACTTTGTACACTCTAGTTTCATAAATATTACATATTTATAGACTATTCCATGAATCAGATAATATAACATGCTTCCTAATGGCTACAAAACTTATTGGAACACTCATAGTTTCCCACAGAAATCTCAAAATACCAATAAGTAACTTGTTTAAACATCTCTTGGTACCTTTCTCAGAAGAAAAGAAGCAATAAAAGCTTTCCTTTCCAAATTCACCACAACCCATGCATTTGTTCAGATAAATTTGAATTTTTAAAATACCCAGTAAACAGCATGTAAACCACTTTATTATGTGTAGGAAACAAGAATTAAATAGCACAAATTGCTGTGCCTCTATTATCCCATTCCAGTTAAAAATCTGTTTATTGGTGCAGGCCTTCCATCTTCGAATGATGTGCTGGCGTAGAGTGTGCTGTTTGTGAACACTCTTGAACAATGCATGTGCTGGGTCTCTTGCTTCAAGTGTGTTTTCTATAGGGGAAACAAAAGAGAGTTGAGTTGTGTGAGGCCATAAGGAGGTTGAGTCAGATCACAAATATTTCTTGATGGCAACATTCTTCCAAGATAAAAGACTCAGTACTTTTAAGTGTTCCCCATTCCTGTGAATCAGAAGGTCAAAACGTCCTTATTCATTTATGCAAATGATAATTTATAACTAAGATATATTCAACATCACTTTATTTCTTCTTTATTCAACGTAATTAGCTATAGTAATTTAAAAAAATTCCCAGTACCCCTTTAAATCAAGCCACTCCTTTCAAACTTGGATAGGATCGGTCTGGCTTAGTTAAAACCACTTATAAAAGAATAGAATAGCCCTAATAAGTGCATTGTAAATTTCTTTCAGTGTGTGGGTTCTGCTTGGTTTTGGAAAAAAGTGGCCTATATGGAGTGAGTGTAGAGTGATACTCTGGCCGTCCCTACTTTTTACCATGTGTCAGCCTGCAGAAAACGAGCATGGTGTTATCGAATAAAAGGGCTCATCATTACACATGCTTAGGTGTAAGATTTCTCACTGTACAGTCAAATGAGTATAACAGAGCAGTGTTAAGTCAGGATTTTAGCGAATACGACCATTTCAAAATTTTTTTTGAACTGTATATTTCTTTGAGAACCAAGTTAAACCTGTGGAACCTCTCACAAGTAAAATTCACCTATAAATACATATATATACTGTATGTGTGTGTGTGTGTATATATATATATATATATATATATACCATATTTAGCATAGATTGTAATTTCAGAATCTTCATGGATTTCCTAAAACCTATTTGTAAACTTCTTTATAGGTTAAGAAGCCCTGGCCTTGGCTGCGCGTGGTGGCCCATGCCTATAATTCCAGCACTTTGGGAGGCCGAGGGGGGCAGATCACGAGGTCAGGAGTTCAAGATGAGCCTGACCAACATGGCAAGACCCTGTCTCTACCAAAACTACAAAAAAAAAAAAATTGGTTGGGCATGGTGGTGCACACCTGTAGTCCCAGATTCTCAGAAGGCCGAGCCAGGAGAATTGCTTGAACACGGGGGCAGAGGTTGCAGTGAGCCGAGACTGCGCCCTCATACTCCAGCCTGGGCGACGGAGTGAGACGCCGTCTCAAAAACAACAAACAACAAAAAAAGAAGCCTGGCCTAATTTCTATGCCTTCCTTTACAACAAGAGTATAGAAACTAATGTGAATTCTCATCTCCTCGGCTGCAGATAGTAAATATGTCAGTGAATGTAGTTACCAAACATTTAGGTGTTGTGTTCCATTATATATTCATTGGGCCTTAATTCTGCCTCAGGTAGAAGACTAAAAGTGTTGGAACTGTACTTGAAAATTTAAATGTTAATTTCAAAATTACATTTGAAATGTAATTTTGCATTTCTGCTTTGTGTTCTCATGCTTTTATTACCTTTTTCACACCTTCTCTTCATGTACCATTCTGTTTTGTTTTGTTATTTTTCAGGAGAGGGTCAATTCCCAGGGGTAATTGATTTGTTTGGTGGTTTGGGTGGGCTGGTTGAATTTCGGGCCAGTCTGCTAGCCAGCCGTGGCTTTGCCTCCTTGGCCTTGGCTTACCATGACTATGAAGACCTGCCCTCCGATCCAGAAGTAACAGATTTGGAATATTTTGAGGAGGCTGCCAACTTTCTCCTCAGACATCCTAAGGTAATTTTTACTTTTCAGTAGGTTTGAATCCCTGAGTTTTTAAAAAATTTATTTTTAATTTTTTTATTTTAAGAGACAAGGTCTTGCTCTGTCACGCAGGCTGGAGTGCAGTGGCATGATCTGGCACTTGGTCAGAAGCCAGTGCCTTTTGATACTACAATGGGCACAGGCTAACTTCCTATGCATTTTGTCTTTCTGAGCAAAAGACACTGGATAAGAAATAAATCATGTGAATTATAAATAAAACATGGGCATGAATAGAATTTCAGTTTCACTGAGAGAGAATCATACTTGGAAGTTAAGAGAAGTCATAGGATGTTATGGTTATTTTTTTAAAAGAGACTGGCTGTGTGTGATGTCTCAAGCCTGTAATTCTAGCACTCTGGGAGGCCAAGATGAGAGGATCAATAGAGGCCAACAGTTCAAGACCAGCCTGGGCAACATAGTCAAACTCTGTCTCTATAAATACTAAAAGAATAGCTGGGTGTGGTAGCAGATGCCTGTGGTCCCAGCTGGAGAGGCTGAGGCAGGAGACTTGCTTGAACCTGGGAGGCGGAGGTTGCAGTGAGCTGAGATTGCACCACTGCACTCCAGCCTGGGCAACAGAGAGAGACTCAGTCTCAAAAAATAAAAATAAAAATTAAAATTAAAAAATACAGAATTTCAGAACGTGAAAGGATCTTTTAATTGATTTAAGCCACCCCTCTTAAATATACAGGGTAGGAAATAGAGAGTACATATAACTCATTCCATTTGTTTAGTTTTTTTCTCTCTTACCTTAAGAATATCTAACATTTCCATTGGTTTGGCATGAATCGTACATTGATTCACGTGTTTCTAAGTAGTAGGGAAAATATCCCAAACATTGGTTTATAAAATGCCTTTAAAATATAGGAGATCAATTAAAATAAATACAGGAAGTCAACAAAGGTTTTAGAAAAGTGATGCTTCTCTCTGAGACTCTGTCCTCGCCAGGAGCCAGTGCTCGAGGAGAATCAGAGCTTCATTTTGTGGCATAAGAAACAATTTTCTTTAACTCCTTCTCCTTTGAATTTCCAACCAAATTGGTAAACGGGAGCAATACACTCAATACTCAAAAATAACTCATGAACACGTGGGTTTCTTTTCAGGTTTACTGGTGTTAGCTTAGTTCAGGACATCATAATTTACTGCTTAAGCCAGTGAAATAAGCTATGGCTTTTCTGCCTCCATTTGTGCAAGTCAGAGTTGTAAGACGGGCCTTCCCAGAGCACAGCTATTTTACTCACTTGGCTTAAGAGTCTCCCTATTTATTACAGGACACAGGCCAGGCTTCCTAGCATGTTAGACAAAGCTTCCTATGATCTGACTTCTGCATACTTATTCAGTCTTATCTTACGCCCATCTTAAAATTTGTCCTAATTCTCCTCCTTAGTTAGGAAAAGAACTGAAGATGCTTAATACATCTTTCAAAGCTATGCACCATAAAGTTGGTGTTTTCTGTTCCAGACTTCTTATGTTATTTCCCACCTTATACTCTAAAATCAAGTAATGAAGAACTACTCGTGGTTCCTCTAAATGCCTTGCTCTTCATTGCCTCTCAGTTTTTGCATGTGTTTCACCCATGGTGAATGCATTAGGAATGTTTTGGCTACATTTCCCAGAAAAGTGGCTGATGGTGGCTTAAACAATATTAACATAAGGCCTCTTATTCTCTTACATAACAGGTTTGGTGATAGGTGGTTCAAACTTTGATTTAGAAACTCAGTGTAGATTTTGATCAAGGAGATTAGATTGACATTTCTGCAATTTTCTAGCCTTACCCTGAAGGTCACAAAATGACTTTGGCAGTTTCAGGAATTCAGACAACAGGCCAGCATCTTAGTCTGAAAAGAATGACCATAAACATAGGCTCTCTCTTCATGATTCTGTGTCATTTTGCACAGGGCAAAAACAAAAGTCTTTTGGTAGACTATGTTGGCCTTAGAAGAGGGGCTGAGAAAGGGAAATAGATTAGAATCCATCAGAATTTATCCCTTGGAGCTGGATATATTGCTACACTGCACAAAATCAAGGCCATATTAGCCTTGAAATTGTAGAGAATGGCTCTTGTGTAGGCAACTAAGTGTCTTCTATACTCAGCATAGAATACCATTCCTTCTTGTTGGCTTTCTTTTTCTTTTTATTTTTTGAGACAAGGTCTCATTCTGTTGCCCATGCTGGGGTGCAGCAGCACAATCATGGCTCACTGAAGCCTTGAACTCCAGGGCTCAAGAGATCCTCCCACCTCAACCTCTTGGGTAGCTGGGCCTACAGGCACACACTGCCATATCCAGCTAATTTTTTTAGTTTTGTAGAAATGTGGTCTCACTATGTTGCCCAGGCTTGGCTTTCATTTTTAATATGAAGACTCATTTTGCAGCCCGTTTCCTCTGAGAGTCTTTCTTTGATCCTGCCATTATTCCCTGCTAATCTGGGTTGGCAGTCTGGCCTATACACATTCTTAAATCACAGAATTTATGATACTTTAATCACTGTTGTGTTTTTTTTCCTCCTTTCTCTCCATCTGGCAGTGAGTTCCTTAATGACAAGAGATTGTTCCTTTCTTCTCTGTGATTATCAGTGCTTGCTGTAGGGTGGAGGATCTAAGGATGCTTATTTGATGACTGACAATGAGGGACGAAGCTGAGCCAAGCCTCCTTTATGACATTTTTCTCCAAAATAAGAAAACTTTTGGGAAGCCCAAAGCAAATCTAGAATCCTCTGTTGAAATTTCCATGCTCTACCCTACTGATCTCACTTTCTTTCTCGGTCTCTTCCTGCAAGATGCCCTTTCCTCTAAAAGGAGCTCAGAATTGGTGCAAGAAAGTTTAGCAGTCGCTGTACCCTGACCACATTATTCACAATAGTCATGCGCCATTTCTCATTCTCCCTACTACATTTACATTTTTTTAGGGTGTTTTAAACTCAGAACCGAACACAATACCGAATCCATAATATACAGTCAGTAAAGCTTGACATGTTTTTGGAGTATTTCTTTTGAACACACAATATATATTCCAGAATTCTATAGCTAGGGTTGTGGGTGGGATTAATACTTGCTTTTGAAGTTCTTTGGTTTTTTTGAGATTGTGGAGTGTTCCTAGAAGAAAGATAGAATAATTTCTCATTTCTATTATTTATTTTCAGGTCTTCGGCTCAGGCATAGGGGTAGTCTCTGTATGTAAAGGAGCAGTGATTGGGCTGTCTATGGCTATTCATCTAAAACAAGTCACAGCCGCGGTACTTATTAATGGGACCAGCTTTAATTTTGGTGTTCCACAGGTATATCGTGGTCAGATCTATCCGCCCCTTCCCTATTCTCCACAATTAATATCCACCAATGCCTTGGGGTTAGTAGAGTTCCATCAGATTTTTAAGGAAACTCAAGTTGGGGCCAGTCAATATTTTTTTCCCATTGAAGAGGCCCAGGGGCATCTCCTCTTCATTGTGGGAGAAGATGATAAGAATCTCAACAGCAAAGCACATGCTGAACAAGCCATAGGACAGCTGAAGAGACATGGGAAGAACAACTGGACCCTGCTATCTTACCCTGGGGCAGGCCACCTGATAGAGCCTCCCTATTCCCCTCTGTGCTGTGCCTCAATCATGCACGATTTGAAGATGTACTGGGGAGGAGAGGTGATCCCACACGCGGCTGCACAGGAACATTCTTGGAAGGAGATCCAGAAATTTCTCAGGAAGCACCTCATTCCAGATGTGACCAGTCAACTCTAAGAAGACTAGATATTCCTAGAAAATAAAGAAGCAAATCTCTTTACCAGAACCTTCTCTCAATTTTCATGGAGGAATGTCCTCCCCCCAACACACACATTTTTTTTTTAATTAATTTTGATGATTAAAAAGAGCACAGGGTAAAAACCTGAGATTTCACTTATACTGCATAACAAGCTGGCCAAATTGGACATGGGGGATAAATCATAAAACAAATAATTTTACTTATTATTTACATGACTTTTCTTACCATCAGGTTTTCTAAATGGGACTGAGGTATAGTACACTGGCAAAAATAAGAAAAGGCAAACAAGAATAGCACCAAAGTAACAGATACCCAAAACCAAATACCATGTCAGAAAACACCATATAGTAACAATTTATCAGATTAGCGCAGCAGGAGAAAGTTACAATTAATTATTTTAGTGATATTTTTCAACTTCACCACAGTAAATTTGCAACATCATTTTTCATTTGAGGAGTAGTAAAATTCAGGTCAAAAAGGAAAGAAGGAATGGAGCAGGTCAGTTAATTCATTCCAGTAAATTACCTCTTCAGTTCTGAAAAACATGCCCATTAGCACATAACTGAGACATAATAACTAAGACTAGAAGAGACTTGGTTTAAGTTGTGAAGCAAATTCTAATGGAAAATACAAGAAAATGGAAGCAATGAGTTTGAAAATGCCCCTTACTGAAAATATGTACTAAAAATAAAATTAATAAAAGTGAAAATAGAAACACGACTCTATTAGTACATACTAGCCTGAGTAGTTTGATGAACTTAGTGATTGGGCCAACTGACACTGTACTTCCATCAGTCATGTTAGAGTAACACACAAATGTGAGCTCTATATGGGCAGGTACTATATTTTCATAAGACCCAAATAGTTACTGTACATCCTATAAATAAAAAACATTTTAGTTTGATATCCAATTGAATATATGAGGACTCCATGTAGTTCACCCACATGGTTGTTTGCTATACAGTCTTGTGCAAATATTAAATTTTTTTTTTTTTTTGCTGTAAGGCTTTGGTCATATGGTTCTCATAACAACATAACTACCATCTAGCATGTACAACATTTTGTAAGCCTTTAAGTTCAACAATCCATACTGTCAATTTGTGTTATGTCCAAATGCAGTGTCCTTGAGGAACATAGTGGGTCAGTTAAATATCTAGAGACCTACAAACATCTGCGAATTCATCCCGTTGAGATGGATCATACTGATCTCCATCATCAACTTGCTTTTCATCAGCTTCTCCTACTTCATTCTCCTTATAGTCTTTATCCTGAGGGAATTCTGTATCCTGTATCCTGTCTCTCATCTACACTTTCTTGCCCTCCTGGTTGTGATTTATCTGTACAGCTTACACAAACACCATAGGGTCAAGATCCACGTCTTATTTCAACACTGGCTGCCAACATGATCTTCTTACACACCATACATTTGCATTTTTATCCTTCTTATGCACCAAGAAACGTCTTTTTACGTGTTCTCTTCAAGTGTAAAAATACCACAGCTAAATAATCTCAGTCCTATATGAATAAGCAAGTGCCTTTTTAGTGTTTGCCTACATTTGGCTGCAGAGCTACAATGATGGCATTTTAACTTATTCATGATTAGAGATGGTGATATAGTTTGTATATTTGTTGTGCCCAAATTTCATGCTGAAATATAACCCCCAGTGTTGGAGCTGGAGCTTGGTGGGAGGTGTTTGGGTCATGGGGGCAGATCCCTCATGGCTTGGTACTGTCCTCATGAGAGTATGATAGTGAATGAGTTCTCAAGAGATCTGACTGTTCAAAAGTGTGTGGCACCTTCTCTTCACCCTCACACTCTTTCTTGCTTCCTCTCTTGCCATGTGAGATACCTCCTCCTCCCCGTTCACCTTCTACCATGATTGTAAACTTCCTAAGGCCTCCCCAGAAGCCAAGCAGATGCAAGCATCATGCTTCTGTAAAACCTGCAGAACCCTGAGCCAATTAAACTTCTTTTCTTTTCTTTTTTTTTTTTTGAGACGGAGTTTCGCTCGTTACCCAGGCTGGAGTGCAATGGCGTGATCTCAGCTCACCGCAACCTCCGCCTCCTGGGTTCAGGCAATTCTCCTGCCTCAGCCTTCCACGTAGCTGAGATTACAGGCACGCACCACCATGCCCAGCTAATGTTTTGTATTTTTAGTAGAGACGGGGGGTTTCACCATGTTGACCAGGATGGTCTCGATCTCTTGACCTCGTGATCCACC